ACACACACACACACACACACACACACACACACACACACACACACACATTTTAAAATGAAGGACTTTTTTGTCCAGATTCTTGTAAAAAGCTTTTGGAAACCATCTACCTACCACCCTTAAAAAAAAAAAAAAAAAAAAAAAAAGAAAAGCTGTGCACGGTGATATACACCTGTAATCCCAGCTCTAATAGAGGCAGGAGCAGGCAGATCTCTGTGAGTTCGAAGCCAGCCTGATCTATAAAGTGAGTCCAGGACAGCCAAGGCTACACAGGGAAACCCTGTCTGAAAAAACAAACAAAAATGGGGAGCTGGAGTTTGTTTAATAAATGTCATCAGTGCCTCTCATTTTAGTAACCAAATGTTGACAGCTACTTTTTGAAAACAAATGTATGTGTATGAGTGTTTTACCTATGTGTATTTATGTTCCCCACGTGCCTAAGGAGGTCAGAAGAGAGTGTCATATCCACTGGAACTGGAGTGACAGATGTTTGGGAGCCACCATGTGCATGTGAGGAATCAAACCACTAAACTATCTCTCCCAAAATCTACTCTTTAAAGCGACTTAGTTTTTGCACAAACTTGTCTTCCCAGAACCACTTTAGGATAAGGCAGAATCTGTATAACAGACCCCAGATGTTACACATCTGACTCCATGATAATTCAGGCTGTAAAACTCATCGTGTAGACAGCAGCACCTGCCAGATGAAGGCAAAGACCTCATCCATCAAAGTCCCTGGGACTTCGGTTCTGGGAAAGTGTCTAAATGTACTAACCTTGCTTCCTAGCTTCTGCAGTCCTCTCTGGTGAATACTCCCACTAAGATGGGGCTATGGGAAGGTTACAATGTTCCTCAACGTCCTGAACATGAGGAACCTCACATCAGCACCCAGGACAGGATGCTCCCCACCTTATCCATTCCTGAGCTTTTTCCTTCTGAAAAATCTAGCAGATCCCTAACCTTTTCATCCACATTACCTTGTTAGGCTATCACCCCCTTTCCCAGTGAGCCCAGAGTGGTGTTGGCCAAATGAAAATCTGATCTCACCCTCATCTGTCTGCTACCATTTCCTCCCAGATGTCTAAACCCCCTTCAAAGGTTCCATTGTTCTGGGTCCTTACAAAGGGTCCTACAGGGCTTGACGTGATGCCATTCCCCTACCCCCACCCCAAGGCTCTTCCGCCTCAGCCTCATTTTTATCTTGTCACCTCCCTCCTCCACCCCATCAGGCCTTTTTTCATTCTTGCCTTTATCCTGCCTGCTCCTAGCATCGTTACTCTGCACGCACGCTCTCTTCCACTTAGAATTCTCTCCATTGGCCGAAGGGAGCCAGCAGACAAAGTGCATGTCGAGGGGTGGAGTGGGGGGTGAAGAGGGCGAGGGCGAAGCCTGTGGAGATACTCTGAAGCCTAGGCTACCATTCCTGCTGCGGTGCACTGGGTTAAAAACTGACAACCATGGGCCGAAGGTTAGGCTCACTGGATGTTCTCTTCCAGAGGTTCTGAGTTTAATTCCCAGCAACCACAAGGTAGCTCACAACCATTTATAATGAGATCCGGTGCCCTCTTCTGGTTTACAAGCACACCTGCAGACAGAACATTGTGAGCCTAGCCTTTAACGGCTGAGCCATCTCTCCAGCCCAGACAGAACATGGTATACATAGTAAATAAATAAACAACGACAACGAACACCAACTATGAAAGATTCAAGTCACCACAGTAGTAGCCCTGGCATCATTAATGAAGATTATTAACGGTCATTCTCATAATGATAACCCATTTGCAGAATAAATGTGGATGGACAACGAAGAGGAATTTAACAAATAGGAGCTGTGGGAAGAATTTATTGGCCGCTGTTTCCAAGACATGCTGGAAGACGAAGAACACAAATGGTTTATTCCAGGTCGAGATCTCCCACAAACTATCGACCAAATCCAAAACCAGTTTAATGACTTTCTTATCAGTGACGGCTCTTATCTGGAAGATCTCGTGGTAAAAAGTAATTTCTTATCTTGTTAGACCCCACCTCATCTCCCATAAGTGGAAAACCCAGCTAGTCTCTATTTAAGAAGAGTCCCACATCTCTCCTTGTTTGAAAAGTTTTCCACTTTTTAAGAGTGGAATAATAGGTCTTATTTATGATATGGTAACTTCTTATTGCTCCTTTCAACCTTGATGTTGCATTAAACTTAATGTTGCCCTTGTAATATTTAAATGTCTTGGAGTGGTCCTAAAACTTAGAGCTTTACCATATGATTTGACTATATAAAAGTATCTTGATGAGTTTCGCTCTTTGATGAGTCTCACTGGTAATGTGCTTGCAATAAAGTATTCATCACACACACTTGCCCCCCAAAATAAAGAATTCTCTCCATTTTCCTCCAGTTAGCTCCAGGCATGTTTTGGCTCCTGCCAGTTCCCCAGGAAAGCCTTTCCAAATACACTGAAGGCTCCTTATTTGGAGACTTGGATGTGCAAACTAAGAGCAACAAGCGTTGGTGGCTCTGAATTAGAGTCCCTGGAACCTCTGACAAAGGAAAGATCCTAGGTGACCCACTGGATGAAACTGGAGTTTATTCTGGAGTCCTCTAAGCTGACTGCTTGGCTCTCTGCCAGCTTCATGCCCAATGTCTGTAAGGCCAAGCATGCCCAGGGCAGGCAGGTCTTTCACATCCCACTCTGAATGCTGCCTTTGTTTTGGAGTTGAGGCTACTGAGGGTGCCAAAAGATTAAGTGATTTATCATCAGTATCAGAGGCATATGAAACTCAGTTCCTCTGTTTGTATAGAAGTAAAGTCCTCTACCCCTCCCCCACTCAGAGGCTGCCAGAAGCCCGATTGTCTGACACCAGATTCTACTTCCTTAAAATCCAAGAGAAACAACCTTAGTTTGGGTGAGGAACCACAGTTACCAATTGGCTGAACAAGCAACCTTTGGCTACTGATTTGCTGACTTTCCAGTCTATAGCTGGCCCTTGCCATATCATAGTTTCTGATTTAAACCATCAAGTTACTGAGACCAAAAGGGATTGCTGTTTAAGTGGCTTTTCAATAGATTGGCCCTATGGTTATGTATGGCTTTAATCCCAGCACTCCTGAGGCAGAAGCGGAGGCAGGTGGATTTTTGGGTTCAAGCCCAACCTGGTCTCCAGGGCCAGTTCCAGGACAGGTAGGGACAGAGAAGCCCTGTACTGAAAAACTAAAAAAACAAGACAAGGAGGAGAAGGAATTGCTTTACATTCTTGGCCTCTGGGCATTGCTTTTATTTTTTGTATGCAAAATGAAATTCATCTCCTAAAGCCTAGGCTATGAACTAATAATTTTAAAACTTTCAAACAATAACATACCACCCTGACCTTAAAACCAATATAATACATTTTCCTTTTCAGAACTATTGGACCAGTTAATCTTGTTTCATTCCAAAGCCTACAGTGAAAGGTTGCCAGGGCGGGTAATTTCTTCTGGGTGCAGCCACGTCCTAGGTATGTGACAAGAAACTTGTGCACCCTCCCTGCACCTCAGTTTCTTCATACGTTCAATAGAGAGCCTACGGGATGGGGCTACAATACGAAGACTGAGTGAACTCCTAAGTGAAAACAACAGTGCCTACAATGAGGCGAACCGGAACTGTACCCGTTACTGGAACTGGTGTTGCATGCTGGGCGCTTACCAGGTTCTGTATCAGAATGAAGTTTGGCTTCCCCTCTGGAGAGGTTCCCCACATAACTGTTAAGAATATTCCCAGTGCCCTACAGATCTCGTCTTTCCATGACTCAGTCTCCACCCCCATACACACACACACACACACACACACACACACACACACACACACACACTATACACTTTCTTGTACCTTCTGCCCTACCCAAGCTCTGCTGACTATCCCCTTTGGAACCTTCTCCCCACTCATAATTTCACGTTTTCTTTCTTGTCTGTTAGGTGAGAAACAGCACTGCAGACCTAGCAATCATATCACCTCATTCCTACCCAGCAAACTCCTAGAGCATGCTGTCTGTAGTTACGAAGAGCTTTTAATTTAGTTGAAATCTGGGTTTAGGCACCATGGAAATTAATAACTTAGATGATCCTCGGCTTTATGAGTTACTCTTTCCTGGCCACCGGCCATGGCACTGGAAACCACAGGGTAGACTGGTTCAAGGTGCATTGGGAAACACCAGGATACACAGCTAGTGCTGTCGGGAAAACAACTTCTTGGGAAAGGTATGTACCAATGTTCTTAGGGAACAGACTCCAATTCAGACACAGAACAGCCTCCATTTTTTGCTTGTTTGTTTGTCTTTTTACTGGAGTTAAGATAGAGCCAGACAGTTTTCTGAAAAGTATATGGACATCTCAAAAACGGTATAGAGCCATCACTATCCTCTTACCCGGAAAAGCATGTAACACGGGAGTATTGTACCTCTATGTAGCAAGAATTTCAAATACCGACTGACATCAGTTTCTAGAATGCTTTTATTTTTGACAGAGTGTGGATTCCTTAACAGAAATCCCAAAGGCTAGCCTTTGATACCTCCTTTCTCACCATCTGCAGAGGGCAAGTCAAAAGGTGGGCCAGGGTCTTCTTCCCAGCAGATTTCCTGGCAGCGTTGGATACAGAACAGCCTTGATATTTCAAAAACAACCACGCCCATAACTACTACTTAATAGGCCTTAAGAACAAGTGGGAAACATGCCAATGACTCTCTAGAACCAGAGCTCTTAGAGGTGAGCTGCTTTTCAAGGCCTTCCTGCCCAGCCCTGGCAACGGGCCTGGATTGTGATGACCCCTCTTTTCAAAACCACAAACAAAGTTCAAGTAATCTCTTTGTCATCTTTGAAAAGAGAATAGAAAGCCATCCTCAGAAGAAGGCACACGGCAGCTCAGCCTTTCCGTTTGACAAATAGGCAGCTCTCTCAGAAACAAACTGTTCATCTCAGAGCCCCTGGAAAATCATCACCACGAAGAGCTTGCTTCCGGGAGCTGGAAAGGCCATCGGGCATTGCTTATTTCATGAAGTATAGGAAATTTGTTATCTCAATATCTTAATAACTTACAATGAGTCAAAACTAACAAATATTTGGTTAGTGCTAGGGCTTTTCTCAGATACATAAAGAGTTTTAAATTTGTATGAAAATTTGTATAAAATGCCAATTAAGAAAATAGAAATGAAACATGTTGGTTATATTTTCAAACTAGTCATGAAAACTTACATCCTGAAGTGTGAACCGTGGCTGTCTGCCCTTGGAGGGAGAAAGGTGGAGTGCATCAGTTTGGGTGAGAATTAAGCTAACAGTGCAACAAGCCGTTTCACAGAGAACACGGAGCAGGTCACAAAAAGAAGTGAGCTAGGATGGGGGTATCTGGGGCTTTGGCATCCAGTGTCGATACAGAAACAACCGTTTATCAGGATCTCAGCGCCTCAGCAGTAAACTCCTCCCATGATATCTATTTCCATGAGCTTTTACTTTCCTGGGTCATGACTAAAGTTAAGCCAAGAGAATAAAACATCAGCCCACCTCCACCCGCCCTAGTTTAGGCTCCACTGGCTGCAGCCTTCTTCAGGCACTTCTAAGAGTGATTTACTCTATCAGAGTCCCAGTGGGCAAGGTGAAGGTCAGTCACAGACCGCTCCTCTCAGTCATGTGAAAAATAAACTCTTCACAGCCTGGGGAATCAGAAATACCTTTTCCTACTTTTTGTATGGCCTATTTCTCCTTTTTTTTTTTATTTTTTTTATTTTTTAATGGCCTTTCCATTAAAGTCCTCCAGCCACTGGGGAGCTTGGCAGAGTTTTCACCTGGGCCAAGAGGTTGTGGAATTCCTCCACCGCCTGTGAGTGTGCCACTGGATTTAGCACCAGGTGCTGGAAAAGATTGACAGGCTCGGCATTCCGAAATGTCTTAGGGATGGGTACGGTCAGGGGCAGGAAGGTGTTACCAATGAGGAAATGATGGAGAGACCTTTGCTGGAGGCCTCGGCCTAAGAACCAGAGAAGGTCCTGGAGCCGTTGGGAGAGCATGCTGTGCTGCCAGTCTGTCAGAGGCAGCCGTAGCAACAAGTGCATGAGGGCTGTTTTGAAGTGGTAGGAGGTGAGGATGGGGCGGGACGCTCCTGGGGGTAAGAGCTGGTGGTCCTGGAGACTAAGGATGATCTGCAGGCACTTGAGGTGACAAGTGTTCTCAGGGGCGAAGCGCCCCACCAGCTTCAGAAACAAGTGTTCACAAGCTGCAAAGGACTCAGGCCAGTCCACAGTGGTGAGCTGCTCTCGGTCAGGGGCCTGGCTCACCAGGTAGACCAAGGTGTCTTCCCGCTGCACCCCGAGAACTAAACTGATTGACAAAAAGCGGCCTGAGCGGTAATCCAACCTGAGCTTGCAGGAGGTGGTCGACGGTGGGAGAGTGAGCTTGAAGTCGTATTTGTGGGCCACCAGCGCCCAGGCATTGCCTACCATGTTTCGGAACCACTGCACCGTCTTACACACGTCCAGGTACGAGCCAGTGCAGAGAGCCGCCTTGATGGAGCTGGTGCACTTGTTCAAGAGGGCTGAGTGGTCCCGGCGGTGGTGCACCAGGCACAGCACATCGCCCAGGAGCTTCTCGTGTTTGCACATGCACTCCGAGTCCACCTTCACGGAGCCACAGCGATGGCCCAGGGCGGCGTCTCTCATCTCCAAGACAAACGTAGTGCCTTGTGGGGGGAGAATGGGCACCAGGACATTGAATTTCTGTGTCTCGTGGAGGGTCCCCCACTTCTCAAAGGCAGCTCCAATGCCCAGGCAGTCCTCCAACTGTGGGTGAGCCTCCCGGCGACTAAGCACCCGACAGGCCTTAATGAGATCATCCACAAAGCTCTCCACAAACTCACAGGTGCAGGGCAGGTCACGGATGGCATTTTGGATGTAATGTTTGTAAAAGGACTCCAGGGCTTCCTGGGAGGGAAAATCAGAGAGCCAGGTGTAAGCGTTGACAGGCACAACACGGATTTCTTCCTCTTCCTCCTCGCTGCTGGAGTCAAAGGCTGGCTCATGCTGCATGTTCTGTCGCAGAAGCTCAAAGATGAGAAAAAGGCAAAAAAGGCCCACATTCCACAGGTTTCCAAGCATCCAGCCCAGAGGCCCCCCATTTTGGCCACTGGCCTGAAACGGCCATCCCATATCCTTCTTCCCCAGCACTAACTCATCCTCACTCGGCTTGTCCCCTCTCCAGAAGTTCTCTGCTTTCTGTCTCTGCTCCGCCGCTCGCCTTCTCTCTTCAAACTCTGTCTCTAAGTGCCGCATCTCCTCGCTCAGCCGTTTCTCCAGCTGCCGACTCCTGGCTAGTGTGTCCAGGTCCATACGGTCACTGACCATCAGGGGGTGGTGAACAACATACATCACTGCCAAGAACAGCAGGCTTATCACAGCCATGGAGGCCTCTGCATCTGGAGAAGTAGGAGGATGGGGGTCAGTGGTGATTTTCTGGGCGTGTCTGTTCTCCAGCACATAGTTCCCAGAGCCCTGGTATCTCAAATCCTGGAAGCCAGCTACTCAAAGTAACAGAAAGCATGCAGAGCCGGGTTTGGACATATCGAGAGTGGTCTGTGTTGGAAGAGGTTTGGGGAAGGGAAATGGAGACCAAAGGTTGTACCCTGAGGCAACTGCTTTCCTTCCTCATACTGTGGGTGGTATTTAGGCTGCCAGAGGGTGGACATGAGGCTGTTTTTATTCCAGTGTAAGATGGGGAGGGGGACCCTTACAGTGGGGTGGCCTCACCGGTCTCATCAGTCCACCTCGGGCACCAGCTATGCCCTGCCAATCCCAGAGGCTTCCTTCCACAGGCAGAAAACACAGAATCTGACTGGGCAATTACCTTCCCCATCCTTGGGTAGCCGGCCTCAGTCCCTAGCTGCATCCCACTTCCTCTGTGACTTCACAACCCTGCCCTGTGTCACTAGACCCACTTAACCTCACCACTCTCTGCCCCGCAGGCGCCAGACAGGCACTGTGCTGCCAACTCCTTGGTACTGCAAGGATCAGGGTGAGGCGGGCTAGCAGATGGCCATCGGTCCGTCTGCGCTTCTCAGCCCGGGAAAGCGCCTGCAGAATTGGGTGGCCAGGACCCCACTAACAGACAGTAGCAAAGATCCCCTGCACCCCGCCCCCCCGCTCTCCCCAGCCCGAAACTTCCGGCCGTCACCCTAACAATTTACCAGCCACTGGGCTTCCCGAGGCATGAAGAAAAGTGCACCAGGGGCCTCGAGTTCAGGTGAGGGGCTCTCCTCCCTTCCGCACCAAGCCCAGCTGCCCTCTCGATGAGCCCTGTTCAAAATTACCGGGGCCGGGGGCTCTGCCTCAAAGTGGAGGCCCCTCCACCAGGAGTTACCTCCCCAAACTCCACGCCCAGACAGCTGTATCCTCACTCATCTCTCCTTGACCTAATTAAAGCCCCAAACTCAAGGGTTTCTCCTGGGACCGGGGGGGCTACCTTACTCACGGTCTCAGCGGGAGAGCGTTCTTAAAGCAACAGCGCGGCCTGGCCGCCCTTGCCTTCTTCCGGGCGTGCACGATGCTCCCGGTTCATAACCGGCACCGGCTACGGGAGTGGTTCCAACGCGCCCTTTCTGCTTACAGACCATGTCTCCGAAGGTCCAAAGCTTGCGGGCGGTGGACGGCTGCGAGTGGCACGCGGCACCGGCCGAGGAGGACTCCGGCAATCCACAGCGGTTCCCGCCTCGGGGGCTCCGCCCCGGCAAGCTCCACCCCCTGCTCAAATCCACCAGGCGGGGCCCGGGACAGAGGCTCGGCCGGAGTCGGGGCCCTCCCTGAGGGCACACACCTTCGGTCCCTCGTCCTCCTCCCTTGGGTTGGAAGGGACAGCAGAGCGTCCGTGGCTACCCGTTCACAGCTGCTCCGCTTCGTTCCGTGGCTCAACGCTGAAGTACCTGCTGCTACGCTCACCACGTTCCTTCCTGGACAAAGTTTGCTTAAGTTGGAGACAAAATTAGGAACTGACCGGGAAAAGCCGTTCTCACTTCCCTCTGGCTCTGTGCAAGGTGAAAAAGGAAATGTGTGTAGGCACCGCTAATGAGCCCCATTCGGTGGGAAGATGACTCGGTGGGTATAGTGCCTGCTGCCCCAAGCAAGATGACGAGAGAGTCTGGGTCCCCGGGCACACACCTCCAACCCCAAAGTTGGAAAACCAGGGCTGAGCAGATCCACTGAGCTTAAGTGGCTAGTGAGTATAAGGTTTTATTAAGAGACCTCGATTCAAAGCAGAGACCCAGAAAGATGCTGATGTGGTACACAGGAGGCAGGCAGGCACATGCAATCCCACACACACATGCACACACACAGGTATATGCACGCACCGCTATAGACCTCACTGCCAGACCATATCCAGAATCAGGTATCCTTCCCCAATCAAAGACTCTTAGAGCAGGCCATCTGTCATGCAAAGACCTGCCCTCCAGTCGTTCGCCGCTCACTACTCACATAGGAGTAAGAATCCTAACCGTTGCCGGGCAGTGGTAGTTTTAATCACAGCCCTGAGGAGGGAGAGGCAGACACATCTCTGAGTTCAAGACCAACATGGTCTACAGAAAGTTCCAGGACAGCCAGGGCTACACAGAGAAACCCCGTCTTGAAAGACAAAAACAGAACAAATCCTAGACCTTCAGGCAGCTCTGCTGATCGTACATACATATCAAAAAGAGCTTCATAAAGTGTGAAGACTAGACAAGGCTTAGTACAGGTTAACAAATGTTGGCGGGGGGGGGGGGGGGGTGGGGGGGGGGGCTGGGAGGTGGGGGGGCTCCCCGGGCTTTCCGGACCCCCCCGGGGCACACAAACCTGTAACTCGTGCATGTGGGGGAAAAAGATAAGAGCAAGAAAAATGCCAAAACACATTAAACAAAAAAAAAAAAAGGAAGAAAAAGGAAATGGCAACAAGGGGTCTGGAGAGACGGCTCAGCTGTTCAGGGCACTTCCTCTTCCAGAGGACACTCATTTGGCTCTCGGCACCCACAAGGATTCTCACAACCATCTGTAACTCCAGTTCCAAGGAATCTAGCAACCTGATACCGTCTTCCGTCTCTACGGACTCTAGGTTCAGAATGCCCATACCTACACATGTGCAAAACACACATAAGCAACCGTTTGTTTGTTTATTTGAGACAAGGTCTGAGTGTTTGCCTGTGTATATACATGAGTACCACATATGGTGCCTGAGGCCTAGTGCCCAAGAAGATCAGAAGAGTGGGCAGAGCCCCTGAAACTGGTGCTGGGAACTAAATCCAGGCCCTCTGTAAGAGCAACAAGTGCTTGTAACAGCTGAGCTGTTTCTCCTGCCCCCTCCAACCTGTATCTTGTTAACTTGGGAGTGGGGAAACTAGGAACTCTCCATGGTTCATGCTAATTGGTGATTTTATACAAGTGATAAGTGAAAGTAAGCTGTAACATAACTCATTTTTAACAAGCCAGCTCTAGCCTTGTGGGTTTTTACCTTTGTTAAGAAAGGAAATATGGTAGATTTTCTGTGAAATACATTTAGCTATATCCCGTTAAAAAAAACAAAAAACATTGTAAACCAGACATTATGGCACAGGACTAAACCCCAAATTTTTGGGATATCTAAGGCAGGGAAAAAGTTCAAGGCCAAGTCTGGGCTACATGAGCATGACTCTACAAAAGTTCGACAGGTGTTGGGAGCACAGAGGTCCTTATACTCACAGGTAAGCGTTAGGGAAACCAGGAATGGTCAGCACATATGGCCGTTCCTTCAGTGGAAGAAATGTGTAACTGTTTTCTGCCTTCTGGCTAATAGATAGTCTAGATGACCTCTGAGCTATCTGTATGACCTAAACCACATCAGAGCCTCCCTTGGGCCCTGAAGATAACACATGCAGCCTGTCTTTAGAACCCATCTTCATGGGAGAAGTGACACGTACTCTGAGAAGAGTTTCCATGTAATTATGCTTCACTGTGACTCAGGATCTGTTACACCAGGAAACTTTTCTCCCCAAATTGTACTGTACTTAAATATACCTAAAATAAACTGCCTGGTGCCAGACTCTAGAAGTTTGAACCAACACCAGCTACTGAGTCCTGCTGAACCAGATTTCCTTCTTGCCTCACACAAATCCTTACTTTATTGGCTGTGGTGTTTGCAAACAGACCCAACACACACACACACACACACACACACACACACACACACACACACACACACACA